TTATGTAGATTTGTAGTATTTGTGTTACTGGCATAGGCGACACATGCGGTCGCCTAGGGCGCCAGATCTGGGGGGCGCTGCGCTGGTAGCTCTGGGAGGGAATTTTTTTTTTTTTACCGTTGGCGCTCATCCTAATGTTCGGCCTTGATGTAACAACATTCATAATTAAGTAAACACCCTTTTCACCCTGGTTACACTTTTAATTTGCCCTGTACGGTGGGCGCTGTAAGTGATGAAAGTGGGGGATGTTGGCTTATCAGGCGCCCGCAGCTCACCGCCAAAGTGCGAGCGTGGAAGCGAGAGAGCGAACGAGGGAGAGAGAGAGGGCGCACCGGTACCGGCGCTGTTGTTATTAGAATCTGGTGCTAGCTGCGCTAACGGATATAAGAAGTAGATGTTTCTACAACCAGGGTGGAGGAGAGCTCTTCTGTCTGACTGAGAGGCTCAGTGAGGTTAAGGACTCTCTGAGTATTTAGATAGTTAATTTTAGTCTAAGTTATCTCAGTGGGTCTCAAACGTTTTGACCACAAATTATGTAAACACATATTTCCAAGGCACTCCTTTATAATTATTAGGATAAATAAAAAGTTTATCGCCGGAGCTGTTAGATTAACATTAACATGCTTATTGTAGTACTAAGTGCAATGCCTTGCGGCCTGTAGCACCATCCTTGATGGAGCATATGTGTGGGCAGGAAAGGAGTGAGCAGAGAGTAGAGTAGTGTTCGATTCTTGTTCTGTTTTCTGTGACTATCTGCCTCACCCTGACAGACTTTCAGTTGTGCGCGCTACTAAAGAGACGTGTTACCAATGAAACCAAACAATGGTGTAGCTGTATTAAAGTCCGAGTGGAAACAGTCCTGAGTAAATCTGATTTTGTCAGAAATCGGGAGAAATATGACCCCGGGAGGAAACCGGGAGAGGGCAATGAAATCGGGAGTCTCCCGCGAAAATCGGGAGGGTTGACAAGTATGCTTAGCACCGCTGCTATGACTCCATCCTAGGGGAAACACTGAAGCTCAGTGGATGTGAGCCAGAAAGAAGCCAGTGTGCAGGTCTTCAGCGACTTGATCAGCTCCCTTCAGAGAAACCAGGCGGAGCTTGTTGAGGTGATTGAGGAGAGGTACAGAGCAACAAAGCAGAAGGCTGACGGCTTTCTCACAGATCTGAGGATGGAAGTTGCTGATCTCCAGAGCAGGAGCAGCCAGCTGGTGCAGCTGTCACAGTCTGAGGATCACCATCAGTGTGTTCAGACTTTCCAAACCCTGTGCTCTCCTTTAAACAAGCACTGGACCAACGTCGGTGTCCACTGCCATCTGTCCTTCCAGGCAGTGAGAGGTACTGTGGGTCTGCTGAAACAGAAGGCTGATCAGATCGTGGAGGAGCTTCAAAATGAGATCAAGATGAAAAGAATGAGAGAACATGCAGTGGACTTGAACTTTGACCCTGACACAGCACATTGCTCACTGATCATAAGCCAGGATGGGAAACAGGTGGCAGATGCAGGAACAGAGCAGATTCTTCCCTCCAATCCAAAGAGATTTGAAATGTATCCAGAAGCTTTGTCAAAGGAGGGGTTTACAGCAGGGAAGTTTTACTATGAGGTGCAAGTGAAGGGACAAACTGAGTGGATTGTTGGAGTGGTGAGAGAGTCCTATGAAAGAAAGAAGGCCATAAGTATGTCAGTAGAAGATGGTGGCTGGGCCATTGAGCTTCATAATGGATCATACAGTGCATTAACATCACCAATAGTTAAAATGACACTGAAAGAAGAGCTTCAGAAGGTGGGCGTCTTTGTGGACTATGATCAGGGAGTGGTTTCTTTCTACGACGTGAACTCTAAATCACAAATACATTCTTATTCCGGCTTCCACTTTACAGAGAAAATGTATCCATACTACATTTACAAAAACAACAATGGAACAAACTCTGCTCCTCTCATCATAACCCCTGTACTGCAAACAGACTGAGTTCATTACTTCTTTAAAGACCACATAAAGCACTGGTCTCAAATCAGTTAACATCTCTTTATTATCTAAATTGCATATATCTAAATTACATTTATTATCTAAATGACTTTCAATCCATGATTGATATGTGAAAGAAGTAAGACACTGCTTCATCATTAGCATTTCCTCCTTCTCTCTTTACTGTATGTGTGTAGATGGAAACTAATGATACTAATGTTACATAATGTTGTCAGATCCTGTTCTATCACAAGGGTTAAGGTTATCAATGTCATTTTACTTTGTTAAGACATTTCACTGATAAAATAAGTTAAATGCAGTCAAATGTAACGTTCATGCAAAATGACATATATTTTTGGCCACTTGAATCAAGACATTATAAATACAACTACTTCCCTGGCTATGATTCATCTTAAGGAGAATCACTAAAAGGGACGTTGCTGGAAATAAGTCTGTATATATTCTTAATGTTATTGTTTTCTTGAGATTCTTTTGTGCATTTGACAAATATTGCTGAATGCACTGCACATGTGAACTAATTATATAGTCACAATATTAAAGTGATTGTTGTAAAGCATTTGAAAAACTCTGGCTCATTGATGTTCTCCTATAGAGAAAAAGGATGAATTTACAAGCTCTAATTGGAGCGTCTGTATTTCAGCGCCTGAACACAAAAGAGAGACAGATGTTTGAACGTGGGACATTAAAGTAATTTAACTAAATCTGCTCTCTCTTTTAAGGCCATCACACATTGTATATGCTTCCAGCTTATTTTCACACTTTTTCCCTTAGTGCATAAAACACATTCCAGGGATCCAGTCTTGCCAACATTCTGTAATATGAGATGTTAGTTTAAATAAATTGTAAAATTATATTTATATTGACATCATTTTTATATTTTATACATCTATATTTTATTCAGTTTTAATTGTTAGGGTGATAGTTACTAGGAGATGTTTTAATGTTTGTTAGACTGCAGATGGAAACTATCTGGCACATAGCATCGCTTCTCTTTTTGATATTAATGTATTTTTATGCATGGTCCTTGTTCAATAAAGACATCTAATAATGTTAATATAATCATAATTTTAAGTATAATAATGCAATGAATAATAATAATAATAATGATACCATGAATAATAATAACTCTAATAATAATTATAAGTATACTGATACCATGAATAATAATTATAGTAATATAATTATTTACTATTATAATAATAACAATATTAATAAAAAATACTTTGAATATTAACTATAATAATACAAATAATAATATTATAAAAATTGTACTTTACTATTATAATACTATAGTAATAATAAAACATTCATAATAATATGAATAAGAATAACTATAATAAGTGTGTGTGTTGGATGCACTGGATGCACACATCATCCTCGAGTGTGATGCGTGGGCCGATGTTCTTAAGCACCACGGATGGAGCTCATCCATGACTAAAACCTGGTGCTTTGTATTTGTGATTCAAGCCCATTTTTCTGAGTGACAAATGTCTTGTTATATTTTTCAGAGAAGGTTCCAGCTTTTGACACAGCACGAAATGAGTCAAAAATGAAATGGAGGTGTAGACAGCGTGAAAATGGAAATCAAACATCTAGAAGTAGGATATATTATACAGAATTCTCAGGAGGAAGGCAGCATGTAGTGTGGATATGAATGCAACATTATGTAGTGAGAACTCAAAATGGATAATACACGTATGTCTTCTTTTCATTGCATTCTCACAGAGATGAGGTAATTCCAGCAACAAGAAAAACATTTCTTTCTTGACAGACAGATAGACTGTCAATAGTGTCATCAGGTGGAAAATGGAAATACAATTATAAGGGAGACTTTATAGAGAGGTGCAGTGATGCGTCCTAAAACCCGGAAGTAAGCTGCTTACGGTTCCCTCGACAAAAAAGCAATGCAATTTCTCCATAGGATTTTGGAAAATAGCTCGAAATAAGGTTGTGGTTGACACAAATTTAAGAGACGGATCACGTTTTGTTCAGTCGGAGAATCTCCACATGTCTACCATACTTTTATAATTTTCGAATCATAAATCTAATCGATAGATTTATGATTCGAGCTATTTTCCAAAATCCTATGGAGAAATTGCATTACTTTTTTGTCGAGTTAACTGGCTTTTTGTAAGCTTTTTGTACGTTGAGCCACAGCACAATCAGATTCAGAATACTTCAGTTTCCATAACATTTACATAATGGAAATATGTCTTTGGCACTGGCAAATAAGATAAAATAACACTCACTATAAACTGTACAACGTTTGATTCATACGCACAAAAAGAGGGAAATTGCAACCTAAAGTGACTAAGTGGCAGTCTTAATAAAAGTACAGAGTGATACTTCCACTGGCTTGGGTCCATCAAAAATATCAGTTGTTTTTTAAATAAATAATTACATGAAAATGAGGTGATGTTGGTGGCCCTAAGAAGGATCATTGAGGCTTGAAAAGATGATATTGTGTTTTGCTTTTTATTGAAAGAAAACAAATGTTGACTTTAAATAAATATTTTTCTTCAAAACATGTGTGCCACAATTATTGGCACTCCTTGAACATCCTATGATTAAAATCTAACTGGAATATATTTCCAGTCATATCTTGCATTTTTAGGTTCACCTGTTTGATTAAGAACTCTTAATTGGTAGACCATGACATAGGCCAAAATTCCCTTTGGGAAAAGACCCGAGAACACAGTGATGATCTGCGACGAAAAGCTGTTGAGCTGCACGAATTAGGAAATGGATATAAGAAAATCTTGAGACAGTTGAAATGCCCATTTCCACTATCAGGGCAATAATTAAAAAGTTTAAAGCAACAGGAGATGTTTAGAATCAGCCTAGAAGAGGACGTGTGTGTACATTGACACCACACACAGTGAGGAGCAGGCCCGGACTGGCCATCGGGAGCACCGGGAGGTTTCCCGATGGCCTGGCCTGTTAAGTGGCCTGCTGGCCTGAGGATTTTTTTTATGTATGTATTGTGAACGCAACGCTGCGCAAATGTGGGTCTGACTCTGCCTCACAGAGGGCGACTGGCTGTCTACGATGTGGCCTGCCGACATGGCCACTTTCATACAGACCATACACTAATGCCCTCGATTGGTCTCTGTGTGTCATTCAAGCTCGGGAGCAGTGGTGTAGTGGGCGTTGGACGCGGGGGTACGCCGTACCCCCACTTATTTGGAGCATGATCTTTTTTTCAATAGTCTAATACAGTGTTTCCCAACCGGGGGTACGCGTACCCCTAGTGGTACGCGAGGGAACTGCAGGGGGTACGTGGAATTCCAAGGTGACAAGTAAAAAAAATAATAATCCCGTCAAAAACTATAGTGCGCGATTATTTTCCCTAGGGAGACAATAGTCTGTGGCACAACCGCGCCAAAATCCCACAATGAAAACAGCTGCTTACGTGCAGCCAGAAAAATACTGGTAGGTCTGCGCTATGGATAAATGGCTAAATCGTCCGCTTGCTCTGGATTCAGGCCAGGAGGAGCCCGCAGAGAAACGTAAGAAAGAGGCCAAGCTGAAACCAAGGCAGTACAGTGAAACATATATATTATTTGGATTCATTTCTACTTCTGCGGACCCACCGCAGCCTCAGTGCTTCTTTTGCGGTGAAGTCCTGGCTAATAGTGCGATGAAGCCAGCGCATTTACAGAGACAGCAGAGCACCAAACACTCGGGAAGTGTCGATAAAAGTGAAGAATTTTACAGACGAAAGCTGTCGGAATTTAAGTCGAGCCAGACAGTAATGATGAAAGCCACGAATGTGTCAATGAAAGCACTCGAGGCATCTTACGACGTGTCCCTGCTTGTGGCTAAATAAAAAAAGCCTCACTCTATTGTTGAGGAGCTCATTCTCCCTGCAGCGACTGCGTTGGCCGAAATTATGATAGACAAGAAAGCAGCCGAAGCACTCAAGAAAGTTCCCCTGTCGAATAACACCGTATCCCGTCGGATCAATGATATGTCTGTTAATATAATTGGACAAGTGGTGGACAAGATCGTTCGTTGACGATGAGAGCACGAAGTGGTAGGAAAGGCACATTTACTTGAAGAGTCGTATACGGTACGAAGTCGGGTCGTGCTAGTAATAGAAGGTAGTCTCCCGAGGACGTTCGTAACGGCCTCCGTCAACGTGAGAGTAGTGTACTTACAAGAGTGTTATGTCAGTAGCTGCATAATAGTTACAGGCACTTTGATCCGACTTATAGGCCGCTAAATGCTGTCGCACGAACGTGTCAAAACGTGACCTGGACCGTTTCGGACGCGCGTCTAACGTAACTCAATTCACCCTTTCGTCCGAGGCAGGAAGGAGTAGTGTAAGGAGAGGGTATCAAACTCGAAGAAAACACTTAGCGAACTTGAAACAGTATGTTAAAAGTCCTATGCACACTGAGAAGGAACGGTACTTCACTATCCAACTCGTGTAACTCAAAAACCATTTTCCATTGTGTAGTCGTTCTATACGGGCTGCGTGCGTGTGGGGTGAACAGTAGGAGTCTCGACGTGTCGTTCTCCTACCGTCTACAGGCAGTTCTTGTCGTTTTGAAGTAACGCTTCAAGTAGTTTCAGAGTCTCGCAAAAGGGGTGCTCTGTCGGTCGCGTGCAGACACACTTTCGTTATCCACTAGCACGAGACACGCAAGAGTACTGTTTTCTTAAAAGTTTGTCGGACACTAAGTTACCCGGCTCTACCTCTTCAAATAGGAGAAGTGTCGTAGTAGGTATTGTCGCGAATTTAGTCCCGAGTAGCGAGAACGGATCGATCACGAACTGCTACCTTATTATGTTACGTAGGTAAAGTACAGCCTAATATGGAAAGAATTGCACACGGTTTTTCAGGGAAAGTGCGGGCAGTACGTCGACGAGGTTGTCGATTGTCTACACGACGTCCAAAGGTGACGTCTAGTACAAAAGAGGGACTTGTTCCGGCAGCTATTGGACCTTGTTAAGAGGGTCAACTGGGAAGGAAGCGGACCGTCGCATCAAACGTTTTATTCTTTTTACGAGCAAATACAGGCTGCGTAGAAACATTGCGTGCTTCCTGTCCTCCCGACGCGGAGGGTGAGTGCAGACAGTAAGAGAGGTCCGACGTTTCGCTTGACTGGCC